AACACGAGGTTTATAAGACAGTGTTTATTTCACGGTGGTTAACTTTTCGCCAGATTTGGCACTCTTCAAAACCTAGAAAGAATCACATTGATACGCAATATACTCAGGGAAATACTTTTGTTACCCAAAAGACTCAAAACCTATCAGAATGCTCGGAACTCAGTACGAAGTTTCAACCTCTTTCTTCAAAATGGCATATTTCTCTTCAGAAGCCAAAGAAAAACAATTTTCTACTTCACATTACATAAAACACTGGAGTTCTGGAGGCGATGAAGTCGCCGAAGGCAGTTTTAGCTTAAGGTTGGTTCTGAAGTATTTCTCGCGATTGGTACACGATAGGTGTGGCGGGAATGGTGGATGAGGCAGATTTTCGCAGCCCAGCTTGTGTAGTCAGTAGTGCGACGTATCTTCACGCATCAAAAAAATATTGTCCATTTCCTCTTGTTTAAAGCAAATAACAGAGCAGGAATCGGTATATCCACAGTAGAGTATTCGTTGGAGACCTAAAGCTGAGCTTCTACTGAGCTTCTACGTTAAACATGAACGCGCTGGCAAGAATTGGTGCGACGGGCTTTCCTATTGCCAACGCTCTGATTTTCAGCAATATTTCCCGGGGCCATTTTTCCTGGGGCTCGCGCGTTACACTCTGTACTACTGAGGAATTTGTTTTGCAGTTCTCTCGGCTGGTTTTCTACGTAACGCTGCCATCACCAATCTTCCGTCAGCGGGATTGGTTTGGAGAGCACAAATCGACATTGAACTCAGTTAAGCTGAGGCTGTGGTTGAAATCACAATGCTAATCTTTTATTTGTTGCCTACCATAATTTTTCACTGCAAGGTATGATGTAAAATGCAATCACAACGATGCTGAGATAGACAGGAACGAACGCAAAGCAAGGGTCTCAATGGTGCAGTGTGTAATACGAGAGCACACGGAGAGGGTAATCGTGGTTCAGTCTTGCCCGTGGTCCAAGTTTAGCAAGTATCTCAGCATCACAGTTTTAACTTTTTATTTATTGCCTATTACAATTTTTCGTGGCAGGGTACTATGTGTGATACAACCACAATGATGCGGAGATAATTACAAACTCCGGACGGCAGGTGTCTACGATGGGGAACGAACGCCTTATTACCCTTTCTGGGGGCTAATGCGTTCATCACCGCGCCATGCTGTTCCTTCGCTTCATCTGTCTATCAAATAGTTCTATCGACCATTGCCATTAGCAATCACCCGTCAATCTCAGCATCGTTGTGTTGTGGTTGTATTTCACATCATACTCTGCCGTGAGAAATTAAACTAGACAGCAAATAAAAGATTAACATTCTGTGGGAATAGTTCTATGTGTTAAAATAAACCGCTGGAAAGAAAATGAAACGTATAGGTGTATTGCCAGCCACTTCTGTAGGACCACTGTGACACCTACAGGTATCACTCGTCACGACAGTGTTAAAAAAGCCATGAAGTTTTGAATCGACAACCACTAGATGTTCATTGTTTCTTCCTATTGCGTAAGGATTAAAAGTTGGCTTACATTGTCAACTTTTTTGAGGAAAGTGTCGTAACAACCGTGGACTCCTTCACGTAAGCGTTGCTTGTTCATGGGTCACGTAGATGTTCCAGCAAGGTGGGCAAGCATGTGTTTCAGCATATGGGTGAGCATAAGGGTTATAAGATCACATTGTTCGATCCGTTGCCCCATTTGCACAGCTGGTAATCGATCCAACATTGAACGGTAATGGATTATTTGATGAAAGATTGGTGTATTCTAACCAATGTGGCTTGATAAGCGACTATGGGCGGTGTATGTTGGTAGTTCGCTTAAAAGTTGAGAAATAAGCAATAGTTTTAAAACATATCTCGCTTGCTACTCCCACTTCACTTTCACTTCCCACTCACTCTCATATTACCTTTTCAGTTCTTGATACTAACCTTTCCTTTTTGTCTTCTTTTTTTTTCTTTTTCCTTTTTTACGCATAATGAGCAATAAAGAGGAGCATGTTGAAGGTGGTGCTTTGTTATCTTAACATCTAGACGCGGAATAATCACGAATGTTCCACCGTTTACTCTAACTGGTAGTCAATGGCTTTTGAATTTACTAGCTCTCGAACTTGTCACCACAACATCATGATGTTGTCGTTGGGTAGAAAAAGTTCAACTTTTTCTTGCAGTAATAACAAGAAGTATTGAGTGTATCGTCGGGAAAAATGCGAATGTTCATACTACTTTCGTCGTTGGGGTCTTGTTATCTTAAGAATCCGAAAAACGGTTCAGAAAAAGTGGAAGGTGGTAATGCTTCTATTTCTTGCTTTCATTCTAATCAGTGCCACTAGAATAGCACTGTAACGAAGTCTAATAGGACTGTAACGGAGGCTATGTTGAAGTTTAAGGAGGCTGCCTGTAACTCTACGCAAGATTGACTTAGGTATGAGCTGAGAGCTGGTGAGAACCTTGGACCTAACTCTAATAAAGTACCAGCGCTTTCAGGGAGAGTCACGTCTTTGAACACAGTAACCCTTGACTGTATGGTACAACTATAATGGTACATTATCTACAGTAGTTTTAGCCGCGAAATTTTCTTAAACAGTGCCTTTTGTTCAACTTAAGGAAGGCGCATTCCTCACTCATTCAAGTTCTCCGACGCTGCTGTTCACTGGTACAAGGAATACGTAGTATAAAAACATTAAGTGTTTAAAGGAAAGGTTTCCCATTCTATTGAAACCTTAGTTGAGCTTTTTCTCTTAGAGTGACAGGTTGTCGTATGCGATTAATACTTCTTATAAACACTTTTTAAAAAAGAATGAGTGGTGAATAAAAGTGCAAACGCCTTATAGAACTTCTAGACAATGGGTATGTTTATAAAGCACGTACCTAGGTAATTGGACAGCACATTTTCACAAATCGTCTTGTGAACGAAGCATACTTTGCACTTCTTCCGTTCTCTTCTAATAGTTATGCATGGTGCTGTAGTTACTTGTTCATAGTGGTGTTTACAACTATCATTCTGTGATTTACAAGTCGTATTTTGCTACAACAGCTACTGGTAATGGTAAGCCATAAACAAGTTCGCATGTTTTTACGGTGAGCTTCCTAGAGGACATCTTCCTTCCCTTAGGCTACAGTGTACCGATCATTTCCTAAAAGTAGCCGTCGAGTCATCTTTTCAAATGACTAACTCATCTATACTTCTCTTTGGATATGGACTAAGACAGGATCATGGAATGACGGAATGAACAACATATATGACCATATGCTAGCTAACATAAGACAGAACATTTGATGGGGATCGGAAGTGCGTCATCTGACTCCTTGCTGTGGCTTTATTTCAAAAAACACAATGCAAACATTGTTTGAGAAGTAGGCAAAGTCCTAGACATAATTGAACTTGACGTTGATGTTACCCCACGTTTCAGCTGCATAGTAAAGCACCGGCAATACCAGCTGAATTATACAGATGAAAATGTGGTAGTACCAGTTGAGCCACATAGATGAAAGTGAGTAGCACTGAGCGTCAATTGGTCGGCATCTACTCTGAGATGCCCGAACGTGGTACAAGCTACTCTCCTCACGTTAGCGACATTCTCTACATCTGTTGAACATCATAAATAAGTTGATAATGCGACTTAAGTGGTTTTTCTTCTCAAATTGTTTTCCATCATACCTGCGCTTTTCCTTAGCTGGATTTCCCACCAATTCATTCGGGCTCCTGTTATCCTTCCTGCTTAGTAGAACTCTATGAAACAAAGGTACCACAAGGCTTATGTCATACAGGGAAACTCATACAATGATCAGTGAAGTATAGTTTATGCTTTATTAGCATTATATTTCTCGGGCTATATTTTTTCAACTGGTTGTCAGATATGAACCTTTTGGGAGTGCGTACATCCACTAGCACAACTTCATCACACAATTCAAGGCAGCAAAGATCCTAAAGAACATGGTAAGGAGTTTGTATAAAAACTATATTTCGGTGATGTAGATGCATTATTAAACACTTTTAAGTTAAACATTTAAACAGTTAAAAATACTAGGGAAAGGAGTAGACGTTGCCTCCTACAGACTTCTCTAACCCTCTGATATCAAACGGATGACTCTTAGATGCATTTTCTTCAGGAAGGATTTGGGGTTCGGACAGTTGCGAGATGTAATTGATTGGAGTCTAGCTTTTTCGTTGTCAATTTCATATCACAGTGGGATATGATGGTAGCTCCATCTCTGTGCATTATGATTGATGGGGGAACATACGCATAGCTGTCGATGGCATTTCTTAGGAATGAATAGTTTTTGAACTGCTTCAGAGTTCTTTTTTGCCTATACCAATCAGAAACTATTTGCTACATGTATTTTTTGCGTTCTATGGAGAAAGTGTGTTTATTCTTCAACTCTGACATTTGCATTAACACGCTGCAACTAGGCCAAAGCATCAGAAGCTGCGAGAGCAGATGTCCACCATACTAGTCTTCTCCAGATTTATGTTGTGAATGGAAGTCAGTAATTGGTAGAAATCTGCAAAATAAGCAGGACATTCGCAAACATCGGGATATTATCATACAGTCTGAAACGGAAACCAGTTGCATTTCGACCGACGGTGGTTCGGCCGTGCAGGTGCACCCTCCTCCGTACGGCAGAGGAAGGGTTAGAAGTTACTTGCAGAATGAATATTCTTCTTTTGGTTAAGCATTTTAAATCAATGATCTATAAGGATACACCACTAGTAACAATTACCATTAATCGCACAAACCATTGGAAAAAAAGTACTAGTTCGTAAGTGACATATATCGTCCTTTAAAGATATAATGACCGAAAGTTAGCTCCCACATTGCTTTTATATCCACTCAGATGCTTATGCAAAGAGATCTCTAACGAACTCCATCTGCCTGCCTGCCCTATTCCGAGTAGCCACTGGGATCTTCTGTCTTCCTACCCTTTCCCATACAGGTGGCCAGAATATTGGACGGCTTACCAGTTTCAAGCGCATTTGTGTTTCGTGTGCCTATTTTGCCTATTGTTCGTTCATTTGGGACATTATGAATTCCATCTGGCCGTCTGTCTCTCCGAGCTGTCTTCCCGCCAACGCGTGCTGCCTCCGCGCCGCCCAAGCGTCGTCGCGCTCCCTTGCGGCGGTGGCGGCGCGGCGTCGCGCTCGTTCGCGGCGATGCCGGCGGTGCTGATATCCGTATGCGGGCGCCGCCGGCCGCACATTGATTTCCCTTGGCTTGCCGCCTCGCTTGCGATCTGCCTCGACGTGCACGGACCACAGCCTCGGGTCCATCGAGCCCTCAGTGCCCTTGAGGGCCTTCTCCGAATGCTGAACGTATCCTGACCAGGCAGGAGGTGGTCCGTGCCACGGTGACCGCGTCCGTCAGGCCCGCACTCGCGGTGCGCTCTTCCGACCACGTGACTTATATTTCGCGCGCTTTCTTATCCCTACGTACTTTCTGCTCTAGCCGTCGGTTCTGGAATACAATCGCATTCGTTCATTTTCCTACTCTGACCCTGTACTATTGCTGTTGTGTTGTGTTAAGCAGATTGTCCATGATAAGAGTCGTCTATGCTTGCAGTTTGTTTACATTTGAAGCCGGAACCGAATGACCTTGTGTTAAATACCCACATACCATTTCTTAAAGATTTCATCCTTAAATAAGATACGTGTTACGTGCGAGTTCATTGTTACTGCAACCTCACTGGAAAATCTTTACGCTCACATCCATGCATGGATTTTGTCCACTATACTACTCCAGCCCTACTAGAGCTATGGTGTTACCAGTACCTAAGATCTGAACCGTTACAGTTTCCATTTTGTGAACATCAGCACCGATTACAATTATAGCGATTCTGATTTAACTGTGAACTTCTGTGCTTTCTAGAGAGATCCTAGGTATCCGTGTTTTCCTTCCATGATAACTCAGGGATATGTGGAGACTCCTGTGCTGTTGCTGAATGGATTCCCAATAGAGCTGGTTTTTCGGCAGCAGGCGATAGTTTCGTAGTCACTAGAGCATTTCGAAATGTCGGAACTGTATAAATTATTAGGGGAGATTTATCTCTACCGCACTATTCTCATACATGACTTTTGCGGACTGTCCTTTTAGATTTAAATGTGGCTAAGAATTGAAGCTACCAAGCAGTTGGCAAGGAGATTTTAGTTTTTATAAGTTTCTAAAGAGAAAGCAGCAATAGAAAATATCAGTAACACATGTTTTGTGTTCAAAATATCAATCTTGCAGTAATAAAGTCGAAGGGGTATATGTCATGGGCTCCAAAAAATCATGGTCCATCGTGGTAAAACACATCCACTTTCATCCTGTAGGTAGAAATTTGTATATACTTTAATAATTCTTTCTGAAATCAATAGAATATTCTATTGATTTCAGAAAGAATTATTCAGAAAGAATATAGCGTATGTGTTAATGTTAAGAAGAAATTAAGGCGGGACAACTATAAAACTTACCATTTCCTCTACCAACGTTCTTCTATCGTTTGTGTCCAAATCTGCTGTACTGGAATTCTATGTAATATTTCTCGAGCAGGCCTTTATATTCCATTCCCTTTTTCTTTTCGTTTTTTCCTACTCTCACCTCTTTCGTTGTGTTCTTGAAAAGCACACATTAGCCGTTATTTTATTCCTTATTCACGAAAAGGCTGTTGTTTTGGCGGATTTCTTGTTCTTCACAGCCATGAGAGATCAGGTTGACCGCAATCTGGTTAACCGTGACCCAACAGAAAAATCATGAGACCAAGTTTTCAATCGCGTTGGAAAACAAGCATCTTCTTCACGCATTCACCACTTTCTATGACTCTTCCTTCCACTGAATATTCCACGTGGAGACCATCCACGCACGCAAGAGTTCATACGGATGGGTGATGTGCATTTCCCACATTAAAATAGCAGTCTGAGATATTGTGTGACATCACGCGTGATAGTGGGGCATTCCTTACTGCTGTCCATTTTTGGATTCTTAGAATTTATCCGGAATGCTTCGGGGGTTTTATGCGCTAAAGTTTCAGATTCCTCTGCGAGAATTATGACTTTCACTTCAAAACCTTCCCCGTTATGTCTGTGTGTCCTATGCGCGCCTAGTAGAATATTTGGTTTGACTTTACACTTACCGTCTGGGTGTTCCTTTTTACGGACAAGCAGTGGTCTACCCGTTTCGCCAATATATTCGTCTCTGCACGCTTTACAAGAGGATTAGTTACACCGTATCACCGTCCTGCAATCACCGTCTCTACCGTTAGGGCATGCCATGCACTTTTGTGTTGTGCACAGGCGGTCATGCAGACGGTTACGAACTAGTTGTCGTCTTAGAGTGTTCGGTATTATTCCAATCACAATTACCAAATTCTCCAGACCGGCTCTTTTTAAGCACTGTTTTACAGCTGCACTTACTTTATTTGAGATGAAGCGCAGGATAAAGGGTACCTTGTTCTCGCTAGAGTTACCGCTTAGGGTTGTGGTTTCCCTCTACACCTATGCCGGGGAGCTGCAGTTTCATAGCCACTGGAAATGGCTATATGCCGTACCAGTTTCAAGGATTCTACTCTTTTCCTGTACACCAGCCGGTGGCCGATAAAGGGAAGCAGTTTCGTGATGCCTTTTCGTTATCTGAACATCTAGCTGACGAGTAATTACTGTTAAAGTGTCCACCGTTATCACCAACGTACAACCTAATATGTTTTAACCTTATGAACTATCGAGCTACTAGCAAGGCACATTTTTGCGTTTCTGTGATGTTGGAGTGAAACTTCTTCCCGCGGTTGACGGCTTTGAAAGTTTCGTCCGCATGTACTCGGAATGTGCTGTCACCTTCATTGTTGAGGTCTTGTTATCTAAAGAATTATTGAGGAAACGCCTGTAATGGTAATACCCCGATTCTTTTCTCAATCGTCAAGTTCATCAGACTGCATTTTTTAGGGAAAATAATCGAAAGCTTTTATTTTCCTTAGCTCTACGGAACACATACTATTCTCTCTTCATGGTTATTAGCTTCAAATTTGATTACCTGGTAATTTGCCATTGGATTTTGACCGCGCAATAATTTTCAAAGTAATTTTTGGCCTATAATTAACCACGTGGCCACAAAGGTGTTTAGTTCTGCTGAGTTATTTGAAATTTTGGGGGCAGCTTTAAGACTCGTTTCAAAGATCCTGTGTAGTTTCGCAAATTTGAAGTTCACTACGCTCATTCGGTCCGTCTGATGGCTGAGTTTGCTGGCGGCGTTCTGATTTAACCACTCGAACGTCTTCTGTTTCTCAGTGATTCTATGGGTCCTGCTAATGGATTCTTACAACTCGGAGCATTGGCGAAATCATTCCTGAGTGCCATAGAGTCGAACAAACATGCTTTATTGATCTTATTTTTACACGCCGTTTCTTTGATAAGTCGTTACACTTGTATTATTGAAGGTGATTTGGTCGGTTAGATTGTTTTTAGGGCATCGTCGATTCTAAAGAATTATGCTTTGGTGGTCATGCTGCCTACACCTCTTACAACACAGAGTTTGCAATATATTTTCGTCCAAACCCTTTCGTTCCTATGTTTGTTCGTATTGATTGTGGTCTTTGGAGCGTAAATAAGAAACAAAACAAGTCTGAGCGTTTTTTACATGGGGTTTTGTGTAAAATTAAAAACTTGCTTACACTTTCTTAAATGGCACGTGTTCCCTAATAGTGAGAATCGTGAAGATGTCGGCAAAGTTTCCATTTCAGTGATAATTTAATTATTGGAAAAATTCCATTCGCGTTGGATTTGAGAAACTGTGTTTAAATTGTTGAGCATAAACGAGGTTGATAATATGGTTTATTCCCCTAACGTGTCGACGGTTTCGTCTTCATCAAAACCGATGATCCTCTAGTCGATGGTCCACAGTCGTTCATTTCCTCGCGGTGGCGTCTTCGTCGCGCATCGAGCTAGATCTTCCTCAGTGGAGCATCTCTCTCGAATGAGCCATACGCACCCGACGATACTCCTTTATACAGGGCGGTTGTTGTTGATACGACCATCCTTTTAAAAATTGTTTTGCCATTTTCGGTGTTCTGGCTAACATAATACGGACTGGTGCAGGGTGGTTTATCCGTTGAAAAACAAATGATTTTCAATGGATAGTCATATCAACAACAACAACCGCCCTCTATAAAAGAGCATCGCCGGGTGCGTATGGTTCATGCGAGAGAAATGCTCCACTAGGGAAGATTCAGCTGGATGATCTACGAAGACGCCACGTCGAGAGCACGAACAGCTGTGGACGATAGACTCGGATCATCGGCTCTAATGGAGACGAAATCATCAAAAAGTTAACCGAATAAACCTTATTATCAACCTCATGTAACCTCAGCAATTTAAACACATGTTGATTATTTTGCTACCGAGGTTAAATGACGGTCGATTTAAAATTTGTTTTTCGAAAACTGTGTTAAGACTTCTACAAAGAAAACGTCAAGCCTGTTCACAAGCTTAGGAAAGCCTTCTGGATAACGAAATTTGTCTACCGCCCGAGCACACCACTAGGTGTGACGTAGTAGTGAACCACAGGTAGAGGAAAGGTGACTTTTCAAGGGCCATTTAACTGTTAGGTTATTGTTCAACGGAAAAGAATGCGTAAAGGAGTGAATATCAACCCTGAACTTGGTCAGGTAACAGTCAGTTGTTCTGCTGAGGAATATTGTGTAAAAATTTTTATTAGATCGCTGAGAAATGGGAAAAACATACCAGAATTTGCAACGTAAGCGGAAGCGATCGGTGGATGAGGTCAACTCTGTCGCACGAGGGCTTACAAGCACATCTTGCAGAGCCAAACGAAAATCTTTTTCAACTGTTATTCTTATTGAATTCTCGCTTTCATTGTAACTAGTAAAATTTATTGTCTCCAGGAATTTATTTATTTAATGTTATACGAATTCGTGGTTTCCTTGTTCAGCAATCGCGAGGTTTTTAAACAGCATGCATTGACTTCTATAGAGCAACACAATACAACACAACACTAGCTGACGTTTCGGCAGTATCGCCTTCTTCAGAGCCTGGAAGGGTATACTGATATACAATCTACTAGGCCAAACGCTTCAATAACACTTACAAAAGGATGAAAAACTCTATGGTAATTACATGATCAACAGCTTCTCGAAAAACTCACCGCTTTTTACGCGACTTCCAATGAGAAGATTAGAACAGCTGATTATAGTCGCATATGGTTGAAGACTGCACCATCCCACATCAAAAATCGATGGCAACATACGGGGTCAGGTCGCGTATAACCTCTGGGAATTCGTCCCTGC